GCGTTAAAACCCCTTTAAGCGTGCAATGCGTGATAAACTGATTATGTATATATATGCTTTGTATACAGGTTTTAGAAACTAATAGATGCGGATTGGAGCTAGTCTGTTTCAACTCTACGTTGAAATGCAATCACCACCTGTGCCTGTTCAGATGCTCTTCTTCATGAATTATTTATAAATGTATAACCGTTTCCAATGTACATGGAATCTTTAATTGCAAAAACTGTCGTGGCTCCCTATCAACATTTCGTTTTTAATACCTGCAATGTTCTTTCGAATTTACAAACAATGACAAGTAATATTTTATGGATGTAACTGTAAATAATTTTGTTTTATTCATGTATATTGTGTGCCAGGTCTATGACCTACATATTTTGCTAATGCATTTATTCTGTTGCTATGGTAACCAGAACATCAGAGTCTGTGGTCGTGTTACACGTTGTTGGTGTAGCTGAGGCAGTAGGATTGTGTGTGACTGTGTCAAATAGCGTCATTACCGGTGCGGCAGGCTGACATTTAGTACCAGAAATATACGGTATTACGGAATCATATTTGAAAAAATATCTATCTAAAATATTAAAAGTATAAATGAAATAGGATCCCATAAATCTAGACTTGCCAAATTCATAGCTGGACTCTGTTTTAAATTTGTTCTCTGGTGCTTGTGTGACAGATTTCCAGTACAGTTAAAAATAGGCTACCAGTAGCCCAAGTTGATTTGACAGAAGTAGAGTACTACTCGAGAAGATGAACGGTAGTATTTGTAGTTGTTGAAACAGTATTAGCAATGTAGCTATACTGAAGGTGGTGATAGTAGCAGCAGCAGCAGCAGTAGTAGTAGTAGTAGTAGTAGTGGTGGTGGTGATAGTAGCAGTAGCAGCAGCAGTAGCAGTAGCAGTAGCAGTAGCAGTAGCAGTAGCAGCAGCAGCAGCAGCAGTAGTAGTAGTAGTAGCAGCAGCAGTAGTAGCAGTAGTAGCAGTCTGTCGTACAGACCCTGAAGCAAATATATCCAAGAAAGCCCACGCAAGTCAGTAAAATATGTTCATTTCAGAGGCTAGTTGTTAGTCTACAGTAGTAGTAGCAGTAGCAGCAGTAGTAGTAGTAGTAGTAGTAGTAGTGGTGCAGTAGCAGCAGTAGCAGCAGTAGTAGTAGTAGTAGCAGTAGTGGTGGTGTGCAGTAGCAGCAGCAGCAGTGCAGTGGTGGCAGCAGTAGTAGTAGTAGCAGCAGCAGTAGCAGTAGCAGTAGTAGTAGCAGTAGCAGTAGTAGCAGTAGCAGTAGTAGCAGCAGTAGTGATAGTAGCAGCAGCAGTAGCAAATAGCAGCAGCATTAGTAGCAGCGTAGTAGTAGTAGTAGCAGTAGTAGTAGTAGCAGTCGGTAGCGGTAGCAGCAGCAGCAGCAGTAGTAGTAGTAGTAGTAGTGGTAGTGGCAGTAGCAGCAGTAGCAGCAGTGGCAGCAGCAGCAGTAGTAGTAGTAGCAGTAGCAGTAGCAGCAGCAGTAGTAGCAGCAGTAGCAGTAGCAGTAGTAGCAGTCAGTAGCAGTAGCAGTAGTAGCAAGTAGTATAGTAGTAGAAAGCCCAGCAGTAGCAAGTCAGTAAAGATATGTTCATTTCCAGAGGCCCAGTTGTTAGTCTAGAAAAGTAGTAGTGCAGCAGCAGCAGGGCAGCAGCAGTAGTAGTAGTAGTAGTAGTGAACTGGTGGTGGTGGTGATAGTAGAGGCTAGCAAGCAGTAGCAGTAGCAGTAGTAGTAGTAGTAGTAGTAGTAGTAGTAGTAGTAGTAGTAGTAGTAGTAGCAGTAGCAGTAGTAGCAGTAGTGTCGTACAGACCCAGGTAGCAGTAGAAGCAGTAGTATATCCAAGAAAGCCCACGCAAGTCCAGAAAATGTGGCAAGTCTAGATTAGCTCAGCTTCAGGAAATGAAGAAGTCTCAGTGGCTCCTTTTCAGCAAGTAGCATATTAGTAGTAGTATGAACTTTTTTTCAGTAAAATATGTTCAGTAGTTCAGAGGCAGTAGTTGTTAGTCTACAGTAGTAGTAGTAGTAGCAGTAGCAGTAGCAGTAGTAGTAGTAGTAGTAGTAATTGTTACAGTTGTAGTAGGATACAACCAATAGCAAAGGAGTTGCAGCAGTCATAGCAGCAGTCAACGATGTCGGTGGAGATGATGTTGTTACTGCATTTATCAGGATAGACTTTGTAATGGAGAAGTACATTCTGAACAAACTTGACACTTGCTGTATGACAGTCACCACCAAACACCACCAATGACTGATCTGTTCTGTTATACTATAATTTGTTTCGCATTACCCATTACTTGAAGGCGCCCATGGTCGTTGTCAGCAAAGTACAAACACATGTCACGGGCAATATGATCAAATTGATCGTCAATACGGACAAATAGTCCTTCAGAAACGGAAACTACAACACTGAGGGATGATTTGGTTTTCAAAGTGAAATTACAGAGGTTGGGCTTATTCTGAAATGTAAACATTCGTTTTTTAAATAAATATTTTCTGAGGATAAATTTTAAAATATATACAGCTTGTGAAATAGCATTCGTTGATTGTACACTTTAATGGCTGTATCCATTTTTGTCTGTTTTGTTTGGCTGGTCAACTTTTGCATGCCAATTAGGTATTTAATAGCCCGTGTCAGACCGTCATTGAAATTGAGAAGATTTCTAAGCAAAGATAATGAAATTAATTTGAAAAAGTTGAAACGATCTTATTTTCGATAAACCATTTTGAATTTCCATTTCATAAAAAAACATCAATTTTCAAATGATAAACAGTATTGCCGACACACACAGCAGGAGAACTGAGTCATTTAATCGTTAAAATTGAAATATATGTATTTCTTTGTCATTTGCTCATGCTTTTGTAATGAGTGTCTGGTTGGAACTGATTTTTGTCAGCACGGGCTAAATCATCAAAACATGAACAAACTGGCGGAATTTAAGTTATGTTCGTTTAAATTTGTAGTCAAGCTGTGTCATTTTAATCAAGTAACAGATATTGTCTCTTTCAAAGCTTTGACCTCAACTTAAATATTATATGGCCGGAAAGAAGGGAAACATTCGCCAAGCAATAGTTCCCTAAAACCCAATTTTAAAGGAACTGGAGTTGGAAAAATGGATTAGAAAGCTTCATAAAATGCATTGGAGGACTATATTTATAAGACCCAAGAGGAACTAGTTTTGCCCGTGGATGTGCAACGGACGGGAAGTGATAGTTTTACGACCGGGGCCTCTGTTTGATTGCCGTGCCTGACATAAACGCCGTGTCACGCTAGATTTTGCACATTTCATAGGATGCGCGCAGGAGATATTGTCAGATGCCCTTAATAGGCTGTTTTACTACAATGTACAATAATTCATCTGACCCAAGCTCACTTTTGTTTCGATTTATGCGGCTAAAACGTTGTTATCGGATTTCACCAGACAATTAAAACTCCGAAACAATCATTACGTGTCATTGTGCAGTATCCCTCTGCAACCGCCTTTCAATTTCATGGACGTTTGTGGAGTTATGCAACAGCAAGATAGCCGATAACAGGCTTAAGGTGATCACGAAGCGTCATATTTGTTTTCAAGTTTATCGCTGCCATGGCTATGGAAACCCGGAGCGGGCGAAAAAACGCCACAAATTACGTTGCTAAGCGCCACCTGTCAGTAAATATTGGCCAAACATTCCATCCCAGCTTAAGCCGTTAATATTATGTAACACCTATGGCGACATGTAATGCACTAGGATGGGTAGGCGATGTTCTTACTTACACTATGTAGTGTTATACTAAGTATGATATATATAATGTCAAGTTTCCATCTTTTTGGATTGAGTTTTTTAAACGGACATTCGTCGTTTTCGGCCTTGACTCATACTTACTTTTGTCAGCTTCTCGGCTTTTTTCTTGAATCCTGGTTTCTTACCGTATTGGTTTTTCTCCCTGTTCAAAATATTTCCTGACGTTTTTTAATTCCCCTCTTCGTCTCTGTCCACCAGCCTCTGCATCTCATTTTATCATCACCTTAGAGTGACATCTCCCGCTTGTCATGTAATACCCACCACAACTGTTGATTTAACCCTAACGTCCGCCTCTCTCTCTCTCTCTCTCTCTCTCTCTCTCTCTCTCTCTCTCTCTCTCTCTCTCTCTCTCTCTCTCTCTGTCTCTCTCTCTCTCTCTCTCTCTCTCTGTCTCTCTCTCTCTCTCTCTCTCTCTCTCTCTCTCTCTCTCTCTCTGTCTCTCTGTCTCTCTCTGTCTCTCTCTCCTCTCTCTCTCTCTCTCTCTCTCTCCTCTCTCTCTCTCTCTCCTGTGTTTTCCTGACGTATTGCTCTAAAGATGAAACTCCATGTCAAACGTTTACTAATTCGAAACAGAAAATACCACTTCCAAATCAGAAATCCTTTCACGAAATTTCTGATTGCAGACTGGAAATCAAGACTCGACACACGACAAGAATCCCAATGTAATCCTACTTCAGATTTAACAAACAGACATTGACAACTGAATATTTGATCGGAGTAGTTTCAGTAAATATTAGGAAAAGGGCTGAACAGCGAGCTCAAAACCATGTGTGTTGTCATAATACTACGACATGCATGCACGTGTGTGCGCATGTGCACGTGCGTGTGCGAACGTATGCGCGTGCGCGTATGCTTGCAGTAGTCCTTACTAGTGAAATTTTATATTGCAAATCGGATCTGCTTCACATGGTGTGGCTAAGAGATTGTTCGTCATTGTTGGGTTTTGACCCATTGACCGATTTTGAAACTGGACGTGGCGTGTTTCAAGAATCAATTTGTCGGTATAATATTCCCAGAATATCTCACTTTGAAATAATTGCGGCCGCAACCCTTTCTTACATTTCACAAAACCGAACGAAGCAAACGTCTTTCCAGAGAAATATCCAGATTTTAATTAATAATAGGATTGGACATTAACGTATTTTGGAGTAGAAAACGAACTAAAAACTAATCTCTGTGGACCGTGTTTGATGTGGACGTGTTACCTTTAATCTGAAACGTAGCATATTGGATCAGCCGCTGTACTCAGATGTCGCTTGCCTCTACTCAGACTTCTCCAATGACGAGGACGTAGCAAGTATTCTTTCTGGAAGGAGAATTATTTTTCCGAAATCAATTTTGAAACATTTCTATCATCATCATCATCATCATCATCATCATCATCATCATCATCATCATCATCATCATCATCACCACCACCACCACCACCATCATCATCATCATCATCATCATCATCATCGCCTTTTTTTCCTTTATCATCATCATCATCATCATCATTGCCATCATGGTCGTCGGCATCGTCACATTATTCATCACATATCGTAGCATTGATGTTGTAATTTGTCTTATCATGACAGTATTTCTGCAATGTTGCAACGAATGAATATGGAAAGAAAATATTTTCTAGATTTGTTTAATGAATTCCATTATTACCAAAATATCTAGTATTTATAGTTGTCGGATTTCGTCGGAGCGTCTCGATGAGTATGTTCCGTTTGTTTGTTGGAGGAAGTACCGGAATCACCCCAAAGAAAACCTTTTGATATAAAACACCGCTTCAGATAGGTGAAATACGGCAGTGTCAACGCCAGGCCACAGCCTTCGGACTCCACAATAAATGAATTCTGGAAGAAGTCCTGGACCAAAAAGTGAGTAAGGGAATATTGCCTTCGCAGGACCATCAATCTGTCACCCGCTACCGTCGAGACCGAATAAAACAAAGACCCCTGCAAATACATTACTTCAATAGGGCATTATTAACTGCGGTTTGGCCGACTTTTTCTGCATCCATGGTGATGAAATGTATGAGAATGTAATGAGAGAAGGAAATGTTTTGAGACGAACACCGGGATATTATAGCTGTCTCCATTGTCAATGTATCCCAACTTGGTGCCATCAAATTTGGACCAACCGATCCCAGCTTAAATCAGATCATGGTGCATTTTGGGTAGTGACGAAATTGTTCGACCTACCGTCTTTAGGTTGCGCCTTTAAAGTCTGGCTAGGGATTCTTTGTTTTACGATAGTGATGCACCAAGATGCAAACCCGGGTGGTTGGTTTATCGCCGCTCTCAGTGATCAATATCGCCGCTCGAGTCAGTGATCAGTGATCAACATCATGATCATCGATTCTACGCAATACGATGACATGTGTCAACCAAGTCAGCGAGCCTGACCTACCAATCCCGTTAGTCGCCTCTTACGACAAACATGGGTTACTGAAGACCAATTCTAACGCTGATCTTCACGGGTGATTCAAACCCGGACTTGATAACCAAAAGCTCTACCTATATGCTTTGTCGTCCCATATTTTATCTAACACATCCATGAATTCCCTGTCTGACGTTCGTACCATATGTAGCTCAGTTTGTCACAACGGCTCCTGTCCATTAGTAAGTTAAATTGCTCTAACGCTACTGTGGTATTTCAACTATATCACGGCGTGTCTGTTTAATGTGGGAGAAAGACCCGAAGGAACACTATCCATGACTGATGTGCCTGGTCCCGGATCGATACATTACAAGTCTCCGTGCTGTTGCTGAAATAGCGCTGAAATATTACAACTGCAGCCTAACAGAAAGCACTCCCGCACCAACTCGCCTCTGAACTGGGTAATTAAAATCAGCGCATACATGTAATATCTTATCCTCCTGTAAACCAGAATTGTTCTACTGGGAGAACGGAAATGAACCCTAAATAATTTCCTCTCATCTCAACGTATCTGCTAGTACTTAGCCATAATCACCAGACCTGGATTGCGGACTTCCGCACGAGTGCGCACTGTCCAAAACATGCGCGGACTTGTACGCCATTGGGGCGCTTTGGTGTTCCAAACCTTTCTGTGAACATATTGGATCCTTTGTTTTGTTCTCAAAAACTCGCTTTAAGCCGCCCGTTTTCTAGGTGCAGTTTATCTTGATGAACTACCTCGACAACGTACGTGGAAATAAGAAACCCGAAGTTGATTTAAAAATAAAGCTCGTGTTTTTATGTCAAAGTAATAGTTGAACCTAGCTATAGACAACACTCTGTCGTTGCCGTGTACCAAGGAAACCCATGAAAGAGTATGCAAAACACATATATATGCGCATGCATTTAAGGCGCATAAGAGCAGGAAGTGCAAAGATTCCACAGCAACAGTTCCTCGTACCGACACTGCTAAAAGTTCACGCCGCAGAATGCTTTATTTCTAAACCCGCGGCTAAAATAAAATCGAATAATATGATTTCATGGGCTGCCTAAAAAGCATTTATTACTTTCATAGTAGTTGAGGGCAAAATGTTAAAATATAACTTCTTCTTCAATATTTGAAGACTTCTCCTCATACCCGTTCCTCGCCCGGGAGCTATTTCCAGCAAACGATGGGGACGGTATCGTGGCCAGATTATATTCATCAATTAAATATAAGCTGAGAACTGGGCTGGAGGGATGAAACAGATAAAAAAAAACTCGTAGTGAGATTCTGGTGAGCAAGGCAGTCGGAGCTTATTTCCTTACAATTACATCAGCATGCGCGAAGCAATTTAAAGGGCGGTTTGTCAAGCAAGGACTGTCGCAACTGGAGCTCGCTCTCATCTGTTACTGTCGCCTTTTCGCGAGAAGTGTTAAAAGACAACCAAACCCCAGGCGTGTAACCAACTGCCATTATTCTAACATCCTTAACATTGGCAACAACTGGCCATAGACGCTGAACTCAGACTATAGAAGAAAGAAAACAGAATTTGAAAACAATACCTTATTTGTCTCAATCTTGAACTGAATAGAAAAGTTGCAAACATGTAGCGGCAAACCAGCTAATCTGGTCCTACCCACAGAAGAAAGGGTTGACTGCGATAAAAGTGTTTTGATGTAGCAGATTGGGTCTTTAAACTGGACAGGTATTGAAGAGGCAATTTACCCTTGACGCGTAGCTTTAACAGAGACGTCTGGTTACTGGCGCAGCAGGGGTTTGGGGGGTGGGATGTTCACGGGTACTGGATGTTGAAAATAGGGATGGGGAGGCCGGTTAATCATTGGTTACTTACGATTGCTGTTCTTGACGCTGGTATTACGGTTCTCTTAATTTAGGAAGACTATATTCTCCTGTTGTAAATTACGGCTCTCCCGGGGTTTAAGAAATAAAACATTGGCTTTCAGCATGCAGTTGACACCTTCTCGGAGATTAGTTTTCCTGGGTCTGCTATCTCCCTTGCTGAATGAGTGAGTGGTAAACTTTGTTTTAGACAGCAACTTGGGGTATGTTTGGTGTGTGTGTATGTGTCGTGATGGCTGGATAGGTAGGATGTGGTTTGGGGAGGTGGGTGTCTTGGTGGAAGTCTTAGTGGGTGTTTTGGTGGGTGTCGAGGTGGGAGTCTTTGCGGGTGTCTTGATACGAGTCTTGAGATGTCCTGGTTGGTATTTGGATGAGATGAGTCGAGAGTATGGGTGGCTAAATGGGCGACTGATAGAACCCAGGTGGTGGTCTCGGGAATCTATGTGTGGGTGTGTGGCTAGACGAGTTGCTGGGTGTGTATTGGGGAGGATGACAAGATGGGAATATTTGTGTGTGTGTGTGTGTGTGTGTGTGTGTGTGTGTGTGTGTGTGTGTGTGTGTGTGTGTGTGTGTGTGTGTGTGTGTGTGTGTGTGTGTGTGTGTGTGTGTGTGTGTGTGTGTGTGGCTGGACGTGTTGCTGGGTGGATATTACAGTGGGTGACTTGATGGGAATCTAGGGGTGTGTGGCTAGACGAGTTGCTGTGTGTGTGTGTGTGTGTGTGTGTGTGTGTTTGTGGCTGGACGTGTTGCTGGGTGGATATTAGAGTGGGTGACTTGATGGGAATCTAGGGGTGTGTGTGGCTAGACGAGTTGCTGGGTGTGTATTGGGGAGGATGACAAGATGGGTGTGTGTTTGTGTGTGTGTGTGTGTGTGTGTGTTTGTGTGTGTTTGTGTGTGTGTGTGTCTAGAGGAGTTGCTGGATGTGTATTGGGGAGGATGACAAGGTGGGGATCTGTGTGTGCGTGCGTGCGTGCGTGCGTATGTGTGTGTGTGTGTGTGGCTAGACGAGTTGCTGGGTGGGTATTGGGGAGGATGGTTAGATGAAACTCTATGTGTGAGTGTTTGAGTTGCTTGGTGTGTGGGAAGGGGGTGGGTTCTAAATCGTAGTCTCGAAGGGTTTCTAGTTGGGAGGTTGGGAGGCTGCTTTATGTGGGGTCTGGGTGATCCTCTACAAACCCAATGACCCAATAGGCTTTAATGGTGAATTTCAAGTACAGTGTGCTGGTAATTTGAGCAACAGGATTTGCTTCCATGAACGAATATAGACCAATGAGAAAATTAAAACCACATACGTCCTAGAACAAACGTGCATCTGCCAAGAAAACTGGTAAACATATGATCTAATTAAATGACAGAAGATACTTGCCACATCTTTCATATATAGGTCACAGGATATACCGCGAGTCTAATTTCAGGTTCCACACCCGAGGACATAGACCGGCAATGTGACTGTATCATATTTGACTGTCGTGTTATTTTCATGTTACCCACAAACCACAGTAAACAGCAGTTCAATAAGATGGAGGGACATACAATCGTTAATAACAAGTCGATTCTATGCAGTGCAAAACAAAATTAAAACAACGAACTATATGTTTATATTTCATTTGCTACGAATACCGTTATTACAACATGAGTTAATAAACATTCTAGTAAATCACGTGTGATATACACATTATAGCCTGTCATAGAGACCCTGCAATAAAAAATACCCAATGTAGAACAAGCAAGTCTAAAATGTGTGGCAAGTGCAGATTACCACAGTTTCTGAAAATGAAGAAAGTCTCTGGGCTCATTTTTATTGCATTGTTTTAATTTAAAAAACTTTTTTTTCTGTAAAATATGTTCATTTTGGAGACTAGCTGTTAGTCTATACAAATTACAACGTGTTCACAAATAACTGGGCACCACACAGCATTACAAATTTGGCACTTAGCCAAACTTTCTGACGACAAGCCCTTGTTGAGATGAAGTGCTGATGTAATGCATGCGAATAGTAACTGAAGCATTTTGTTTATTGGGCTTGTGTGTCGCGCGCGGTCGTGACTGCTGT